AAAGCAGCAGTCAGACGCAGCAGGTCCGCTCATTTGTTTGTGGAAACAAAGTGCTGTTAAATGATTTACCCGCTCCCTGCGTTTAAGTACAGTCCCTCATTAAAAGAACAGCAGACTGGCCGGCTAGACTGCAGGATCGTGCATCATGACATACAGTACACATGCGAAAAACCACCTCGTGCATGCATAAGCTGACTCCTTGTTGTGTATTCTAACACACACACACACACACACACACACACCAGCTCAGTCACACTACATTTGTAATATTCAAGGGGTCCCCACTGTCTCACATTAGATACCAAACATGCAAACACACACATAATATACCGCACACGCGCACACACACACACACACACACACACACACACACACACAGAGTTAGGAAAATATTCATGTTTCCTCACAGCTGAAACAGCAAATATTTATTCAACACACTCCAACACCATATCATGTGAACTCACAGAGGAGTTTTTACATCTTTCAAATGTAGAATCTGCAAATTAATTTACTGAAATGAGTGTGTTTACATAAATCCCGAGCTCAGAACCAGATTTGGACACTAAATCCCTCGGCAATGCATTGTGTAAATCCCATTTAACCATCACTTACTGATTCATTTTCAAATGCACATGAACCCTCCACGCTGCAGATTTATACTGCTGCAGATGCTCACTGATCTAAACGACGCCCACGCACACATGTATACATACGACGATAGCAAAGCTCCCTCAACAGGTGGCGGCATATCGGAGCATGATGCGTAGCGAACGGCAAACAAGGCCGCCCTTTCAGTAAACTGAAGCTTGTGTGTTTTTGCTTATTTGGCGTGTTTTGACACATTCATATTGGATCTACGCTCACAAACTGACAACCATTCAGATCACGATGTCCAAGGGCTGAGTTCAGCGGTGTTAAGTGATGCCAACATCAGCTGTGAGCTCCATATTTTTCCCATCTAAGGGAGAAAGAGGAGGCCCTGCATCTCGTCTCTCATGCTGGCAGTTATATATGAAAGGAGATGATTTATGAAGGACATATTTTACTCCTCTGCAAATAAACAAACAGAGCTGGAAGAAGAGGAACCAGCAGGAGAAGAAGAAGAAGTCGAGTAGGCATGTTGGATAATGTATGTTGGCAAACAGTTATTTGTTTACAACATTCTTTTTATATCTTTTCATTCTTCTTTTTATTTTTTAATAATTATATTCCTGTTTCCTGTTTTCTTGAGCTGCTGTAATGCAAAAATTTCCCCCATGGGGGATCAATAAAGTTTATCTTTATCTTTATCTTTCAGTTGCAGTCTTCTTTTCCGATCATATTTCCTCTAGTTTTATCTCGGTTTTGGTCTCCACCAGCTTTTTCTTTTTTTAAGATTTATTTTTGGGGATTTTTGTGCCTTTACTGGAGAGATAGGACAGTGGATAGAGTTGGAAATCAGGGAGAGAGAGAGAGTGGGGAATGACATGCTGGAAAGGAGCCACAGGTGGGATTCGAACCTGGGCCGTTAGCTTTGAGGACCATAGTCTCCATACATGGGCGTGCGCACTAACCACTGCCCCACCAACGCCCCACGTGCTCTTTTTTTTTTTTTTTTTTACTAAAATGAATTGTCATAATGCTAAGAAGTAAAGTCAACCACAACCAGTGGCGATTCCAGACTCTGTTGGGGCCCTTGGCAAAGATTAATTTGGGGGGGCCCTGCAACCAGTGTTCATCTCCATCATGTCCCGAGGCTTCCTCCTTTACCTCATTTTCTTTTTTCTCTCCTACAGACGGACGATTCTCCTACATTTGTCTTCATTTTTCTACAATAATGCATGCAACGCTTAGCAGGCCACCAAAAATGAGTGCTGTCAGATGGGACCCCCTTAGGGAGGATTCATATACTGTCATTGCAAAATTTGCACATTTTGGGGCCAGTGCTCTGACTTAAAGTTTGTGAGCCCTCAGGGGCCCCCCTACCTGGTCTGGGGCCCCAAGCAGTTGCCCGTTGACAAGCAGCGCCTCTGACCACAACAAGCTTTTTATTCTTTAATTTGTTAAACCAAAACAATGAGCTAAAAGACGATAAAGCAGTGTGGAATGATGTCCAAATGAGCGCAGAACTTCTTGAACCTAAACGTAAACAGCGCCCGTGTCACTCACAGAGGGTTACATAAATGACTCAGCGGGTGAGAAGGATCATGGCAGGCATATTAATCAATGATATTCCGTCTGTAAATAATGAAACACAGAGCTCGATGCAGAAGTAACAGACGGATGAGGAGGAAGGAGACGAGGAGCTGAGTAGGATAGGAGGCAGCTTTATTCTCAAAGTTGGGTCATATGAGGCATTTATCAACGCCGTGGTCGTTTGTAGTTACAACCGTGTGTTTGGAGAAGCCGACTCGAGTACTTGGAAGCCAATCTAAATACCACCGCGGAGGCTTGGAGCCAAGTCCACCTCAGAATATCAATACCAGTTGAAGTTATATGGGGCCGTGTTATTCTAATGTTTCCACGGCTTCACCTTCCTGCAACCCCGACTTCTTTGTTTTTCCTCAACCGTTCAAGTTCTGTGATCCTCTGCATGCTGCGCAGTGTGTGCAGAGATCAGCTGTTTGGGTCGTAGTGTCAATCAATCAAACTTTATTTATATAGCACCTTTTAGACAAATTAAATTGCAGTTCAAAGTGCAGAAAAGTTATTGACGAAAAAGTCGTTTATAAAATCATTGAGAGACTAATGCGAGACTCATAATAATATAAAAAAAATATGTATAAAAATGAAAAAATTAAATACGACACATAAAAGCAACAAGATATTAAAATGAATACATAGGGGAAGAATATTTAAAATTGTAGTAGGATAAAAAAGACAATACAATAATGTTAAGATTTGAGTTTATATAAAGCAGCTCCATGGTGAGCGCAACAGAAATCAAACTTCTCCTAAGATTTCAAAGTTGTTCTATATGTGTTTTCAGCTTTTCCTGGGAATACTGGCCTTTTACCTTTTTACATGTGTTTCTAGTTGAACATCGACTCTGAGAGGCTTCTCTACAAACAGAGGGCCGTGCTGCATCATGAGGAGGTTGTACACTCAGTATTGATGAGTCCCTCATACAACCCCACTTGGAATGATTCCACAACTCTCTAAAAGAGGAGGAAGAGCAGAATGAAAGGAGAAGTGTACCTCTGACATAAGAGCCGGTTTTGTTTCCCCCGTCTTGTTTACTTCGGTGCAGTTCATCACCGTGCGGCCGTTACACTTCTCGTTGGATGAAGGGGAGCATTGATGCAGCGGTTTCCATTTGGCTTCTCTTTCAAGGGGGTTTGAAATACGAGTATGAAGTGTCGGAGCTCGCCCCGGTTGACGTACGGCAAGCAGCTTGTCGGGGAGAAGTGCGCCAGAAAAAAATGTGCTACTTTGGCAGCAGTTCAGGCCCCTCTTGTCTACAGCACAAATCAATAGAAGAACAGAGATTAGGGCATATTTACTTCTCAGCCCCAGTGATGGATATCTTTTCCAACATACAGGAGCTGGCTGGAGCGGCGCCAACATTTCTGTGGACGGAGAGAAAAAAACTCTTGAGGATTTATTACAGCACATAATCGGAGACATTATTGCCGAAAATGAGACGAGAAAAGCCACAGAAGTCGTGGTTTTATTTTCATGTGACAGATGTTGAATGTCATATATCACTGGGAGTGTGTGTCGCAGCACAGAGAGGCAGTGTGTCTGTTTGATTGATATCATGAACTTGATTCAGAAGTTAGAGGCTTCTCTGTTGGGATCAGTCCATTTGTCTTTGACACAAAATAGCAGAAGTTGTATTTTTGTATTTTCTTCCAAGGTTAAAAACTTTTCTTTTTTTTTTTCCTTCTTATCAATTTGAGTTTAATAGAATTGTGTTCTGTTTGTTTAAATGTTCATGTATAACAACATGTCAACACAAAACTCTCTCTACTGAGTTTGATTCCTTGTTTGGGCTGCAGTAGCTCAATCTGACTGTGGTTAGGAACCAGAGGGTCGCCGGTTCTGGATCTGGAAATTGCTCTGGTAGCTGGAGAGTTGCCATTTCACTTCAGATCAGTGTTTGCACAGAAAATTAAGCTGGGGAAAAAAAAATAATGATAATAAAAAGTCATGCAGTCATCCAGAAATGGGACTGCCCAGGGATTCTACTATTGCACTCGTGACCTCTGTCACTTCTGTATTTGATTCCTCCTTTTGCAAACGATCATCTATTTTCTGCAATAAAATACACAAAGACAAAACATTTAAAAATTAAAAAAAAATAAAAAATTAAGCTGGATCTGTGGGTCGCCTATCCAAAATGTAGAATTTGTTTTGGGTTTTTTTTTAAATTTATTTCCAGGCTTTCAATGCATTTTTTTAGAGATAGGACAGTGGATAGAGTCAGAAACTGAGGAGAGAGAGAGAGAAAGTGGGGAACGACATGCGGAAAAGGTCGGATTTGAACCGGGGCCGCCCGCTCTTGAGGATTATGGCCTCTGTACATCAATAGGATGGCTACCGGTTCCCATCATATTGAAAAATTTTACAAAACATTAGGGTTTTTTCTTTTTAATCAATCGTATTTTGTTGGCTGTTCAGGAACCTCACACACACACACACATCTCCTCTTGCCTTCCCCATCCAAGACCGTTTCTCTACTCCTGTATGTGTGTGAATGTTCTCATCAGCTGTGTTTCATAAAAATGCCCGACTAACTCTGCTTGGGTTTTGTTGTTTATTAGATATTCTGTTTATCACAGCGGGTGACACACATTTGCGTACGAGCCTCCAAAACTTAAAGAGTGCTTCTTTACTCTGTGTAATCATGACATGAGTGAATCACTCGATTCCTTTCACATGAATTTATTCTCACATCTGCTTTCCATGAACTTTGCTTAAGGAAGTGTTCACAGTGATCTACACACAGAGATATTCAGTCGTATATCATAATCTTCCTTTACTAATCTTTTCAATCACTCTTTGTCTCTTCTCGTCAGGTTTGATTACCAGGAGCTCCTCCACAACTCCACCTTCTGTCTGGTGCCTCGAGGGCGGCGTCTGGGATCCTTCCGCTTCCTAGAGTCCCTACAGGTACGTACACCACACACCTAATGTAATACTGAAGTCTTGCCATTTATCTTTCCTCACTCTTCTGCTCAATACGAGTGATGGACGTCTTTTCTGCTCCTCTATCCGGGTGTGAATGAAGTGGGTGGGGCGATGGGATTTGAACTACATTGTGATCAAAGTGTCATAACAGTTGCGGAGTTGCCTCAGATCAGCTGCGTTCATGTTCAAACTTTGAATAAATAATAAACTCCGGATTGTTTTGTTTTTTTTACCTTTGACAGCTGCTTATTAAGTGATTAATAAATCATTGAGGCTTGAAGGCAGAGGAGGACGAGTGCAGCGGCAGCTCACATTTAAACTCCTGATGTAACGCAGTGTAACACGTGTGTCATAATTCAATGTTACAAAAGCAGAACTTAGAGTGTTAAAAGACATGTTTTCAGAGCGGTTTAAGTTGCAACACTTAATCATGATGTTATCTTAAACATTGTTTAATAATGTCAAAAATGAAGTTTTAAGTTTGCATCCTGTGTTGAATGTAGTAACATACTGTAGCTCTTGATTGGTTGTCTCATATGCACTCCTGAAAAATTCTAGAAAGTTTCAGGAAGACTAGCTCGTTCACACATGCGCCTATCTCTGTCGGACGGGAGGGTCCGCAGGAAGCAGTACAAGACAAAGAATGACCCGAAAGTGGCGGAAAAAGCAACACTATTTTGACTCTTTTGCCTTTATATCCAAGTACTTGAGTGCCAACACGTTTACATTTCAACATATCCAATGTATCAACGAAAGAGCAGAGGAGAAAAAACGATGACGCAGTTTCATTTCGTGCAGAGAGACGGCACCGTACGTGCACAAACAGTCTACAGCCGTCCCCCGATCTGGATAGAAACCTCATCACCTCCTCCGAGTAAATGTTCCTGAATATTTCCTGCTGCATTCTCACACAGGCTCATCCCAACTATCACTGGGGGTGCTGGCAGGTCAAATTGGAGCTACAGTTCTGATTTTTGCGTTCACACATGCAGCTCACCCCGTAAATTTCAGGACTTTTTGGAGAGTTTCCTGCAAGGGCAGAATTCCCTGTAAGCCTGAGCACTTGAGGCGTCTCCAGTCTCCACTCTGCACAAATAAACAAACAAATCTCCACATATTACATGTAGAAGTCCTCACAGCTACATTATCTGCAGCCCCCCCCGCCCCCACATTACAATAACACATTAGAGGAAACTGCTCAGATTCAACTCGATCCAGCTCGTATACAGCTCAGTCAACACGGAAACGCTCAGGAAGCACAACGTTCATGTTCCAGAGCTGTTGTTTATGCAGCCTTTTTGGTTATTGACACCTTAATGGGCACATCTGCAAGTATTTTCCCTCAGACCATTGTGTTGTGCCGAGTGGCGATGTAGCTGTAAAGCCTTTATTTGCTATTTTGTTGGGGCCTTTTAAACTAAAATGGGTCCATTAACACACACACACACGCACACACACACACACAAACACGGGCAAGTGCAAACACTGGTATTTAAGTCCATCAGGGAAAGTGCAAGTAGGCAAAACAATGGAGAAAGTGGGAGCAGTGGAGTGAGAGAGCAGTTTGAAGCAGTCGGTCTGGCTGCAGCTTTTCTCTCCCTTTTCTTTTTTTGCCACCCAAGTCGACAGTCTCACACCAGCACAGGAAGCAGTAGTGGCTGTTTTTAGATTTGCCAAACACTGAACTCTCTCGCTGCTACAAATGTTCCCTGGCTGCTCCGCTCTCTGGGGCTACAGTGTGTGTGTGTGTGTGTGTGTGTGTGTGTGTGTGTGTGTGTGAATGGACCGGAAGCATCCATAGGAGTGGCAGCCTGCCCTACCACCGCTGTTGCTGCTGAATGGACAAATCCGCACACACTTGCATGCACACACACACACACACACACACACGTGCACACACAACAACCCTCTTAGTTTGGCAGAAGTCAGGGTCCTGTTTTCCTCCCTGGGTCGTCTCTTTCTTTTCCATTTGAAGCACTTTTTTTGAGAATCTTTTTTGTGTGTATATTTTATTTATTTTGTTGCAGCAGTCAGGGTCCTGTCTCCCCCCCCCCCCCCCGTTCCTCTTTCTCTTTCTTATCTTTAGCTTTCTCTTTCCCTCCCTGAGTCCTCTTGTTTCTTTTCTATTGGAGGCACGTTTCAGGATTTTTCAGTTTTGTTTTTTATTTTTATTTTGGGCCAAGCCAAGCCCACAAGAGAACTGGCAAATACAAGTTGTGGTAAAAAAGCTATACTGCAAGTTTTCCACATGCACGTTTACTCTGAGCCTCCCCCCGTCTTTATCTCCCAATGCAAACAAACCGAACGCCGCCACACCGCACATACGCCTTCCTGCAGGCGAACAGAGCAGGGCAAGTGTTTGAAACTCACGCTCAGAAGGTCTGCTCTCCCCCGGGGGACGACACTCAGGCTAGCCTCGGGCTGCGTTTCAAAAAATGTTCGAGGCCTTGGATTATCACTCTGGGAGTCTTGTGTTTGACCTTGTTGTAACCTGGGGCTTGATTCTGACACATACCCACACACACACACACACATACAAGTCGCCCTATTTGCTCGAGTGTCCTTCAGCGAGGGTTTACTCTCAGATGAAATGCACCGAGCACCGAGTCCCCCGCCACCCGGTGGGCCGGAGGGAGCGTTTGATCTTACAGCACTTTGGCTCCTGCTGCTGCTGTTCCTCTGGTGGTTTAATTAGAAAAAAAGTGGAGAAAAATAAATAACACCAGTCACCTATTGAGACCACAAACCTTGGTAAAAAAAAAGAAAAAGAAAAAGGATGACATGAGAGTAAACAAAAGAGAGAAATGGAGTTTTAAAAAGAGAGCAGAGGAGGGCTCGGAAAGCCAAAAAGAAAGTGGAACGACATCAAACACCTGTCAGTGAACGAGGGGGATAAGGCAACTTTAAAAAATCTGCTTCAATAAAGCAAGATGCCCCCACGTATCAGCTGCTTCCTTCTTATTCTCCCCTCATCCCCTCTCTCCTTTCTTCATTGTACCTCCTCTGCTGCATACCCCCCCCCCCAGTCTTTGTAGCTAATTAGTACACAAGGATTGAACACCGTCAGCCGTCAACATCAGTGCTCAAACACATCTGAGTGACAGTCTTTTGGAAAACCTCCAGGGCTTCATGGGAAAGGAGAGATAGGAGATATAAAGTAATCCGAGCCAATTTACACACACACACACACACACACACACACACACACACACACACACACACACACACACACACACACACACACACACACACACACACACACACACACACACACACACACACACACACACACACACACACACACACACACACACAGAGCATTGATCATATCTGCTCGGTCTGGGATATCGTAATGCCCAGCAGCTGGGACTGGGAGTCATCCTGATTGTATTATATGAATGAGGCTGCAGTGTGTCATGCTATGCTTTATACCGCCTGCGGCGAGGGAGGAGCCCCGGAAACGGCAGCTGATCAGAGTTTAAAGTTACATATGTTCAACTTTTATTTCCCTCTACTATGATACAAGCTGCTGTGTGAGTGTGACTGTCTCTTTAAAAGTCTAATATGTGTGTGTGTGTGTGTTTCTTCACAGGCGGCGTGCATCCCAGTGCTGCTGAGTAACGGTTGGGAGCTGCCGTTCTCTGATGTCATACAGTGGAACCAGGCGGTGATCGAGGGGGATGAGAGATTATTACTGCAGGTAACACAGGGAGTCTCATTTACATGTACACGCCTTTTTAGACACAAAACAAGAACATAGGCTGAATTTCCTTTTAGGGCGTTTGAGACACAGGGGTGAAGCAAAACTGGACTCACATTCTTTCTTTCTCTCTGACTAATTTTTCATTTATTTATTTTTTTGTTTGTTTTCTCGGTACTCCCAACTAAGTTCCGCACTTGAATGCATCACGCTGCCACAAACACATTCACACCTTTCTAACACACTACCTGAACATAAAAATCATTGCTTGACTTTCATCTCATTTAAATGTATTTTGTCTGTATTGTCGCTCTGTATCTTTGCTTATGTTTTGCTATTTTGTATCGATTTGTATTTTTATTTTTTGTCTTTGTTTGTTCTCGCTTTAGTTGCCATGTCTATATATTCTTGTTTCTTTTTGTTCACCTTATCACCAATAAAAAATTAAAAAATTAAAAACTGTACTCATAAAGACGCTGACTGAAAAGCAGAATCGTGGTAAAACCAGGATAGATACTTGAAACGTTTTTAAAAAGATGGGGAGGTTAGAACGCAGAGAGGTTGCAGAGCTGGCTAAACGCTAAAGCTTCCGGGACATGGCAACCAGCGTGCAATTAAACTCCAGGGAGGAGGGGGCTGGGGGGAGACAGCTCCCTATAATGTTTTGAAATTTTAAACTGCAGTACCCATTTTAAACACTAGGTGTCAGAGTTACATACTGCTCCTTTAATACTTGCAGCACCCTGAGCTCTGCAGGAACTTGCATGCTGCCTCTAAATAATAAATGTGAATACTTTCCAGAGTAGTTTCCAGAAAGCAGACCTCTGGGTACATTTGCATTCTCATACTGGAGCTAAATTGATGCACAATTTAAATCCATTTTAACTGCAGCTGGAAAATCAACTATATCAGCTTTAATCAGTTATTTCACTCGAAACAGATTCAGTTTCGACCCATTTTTTAGTCGTATATTTTAAAGGTATGTCGCCCAGCTGTTCCACAAAAGGAAGTAATAAAACTGAGTTCAAAATCCCTTTTTTACAGACTCGACTACCCCGGTTCTTTATTACCTGTATCAAACACTGTGCTTACAGGTTGGAGCCCTTTGAGATTAAACACCCAAAGAGACCTTAATCCAGCTTCAGTTCAAAAGCGCTCGCTCGCTCGCTCGCTCATCCTCTGTGTCTGCGTCTCCTCACACACACAAATAAACACAAAGAGCAAGCAAAGCCAGCTCTCTCTCTCTCTCTCGCTCTCTCTCTCTCTCTCTCCCCCTTGCACAAATTACATCATGTCTCCTCTGCATTGATCCGATTTGATCTCAGCCAGTGGAGGACATGAATTGGCATTCAGCTAATGAACAGGAACAAGCCCCTGAGACATTTTGCAAATAACGGCAGGACTGGGTAGAATAAACCGGCCTTTTTTTTTTGCCCACCTGCAAAAAACTCTTTTTGGCATGGAATCACAAAAACAGAAAATATTCACACCGTCTGTGATCTGGTGCTGGGTGAGGGCACACACACTTCAAACAAAACCGAGAACGAGGTGAAAGTGAAGCCGTCCTTCAGTTGTACTAAGTGGAGAGAGAGAAAAGGGGAAATGTAGCTCAGGGGCCGTATGCAAAGAGAAACTTAGAATTTCAAAGAACAAGGACATAAAAAAAAGAGAGAGATTTAGCCGCCTTCAGGTCCTTAAACTGGCGCTCATTAGCAAATGTGTTAGACAAAAGGCTTGAAAGGAGTCAAACGCTCACGGTTTTCTGAGTTCAGCTTTGACTGAGCCGCTGTGCTTAACTTTCTAAGTGATTTAATCAATTTTGGCGATTCTCTCTAAACCCTGCGATGTAGTCCTAACTAATTACGGTCTAATTGTTTGAACAATCATGCTCTGTGTCAACGCTTCTTCAGGAGGCCAAATTAAGCTCCCACTTGAGTCAGTGTCATTTCTTTTGCCTCTTCTCCCGTCTATTTTTAGAATTGCGTTACAAACAAGTTAAACTCTTTGTTTCTTTTTTTCTCTCTCTCTGTTCTTTTTTCATTAATGTCCTCCTCATGTCTCTGTGTGGATCTTTAACTGGGCTTATATCTTTTCTCTCCTCAGGTGCCGTCGACGGTGAGAGCGGTGGGGAACGAGCGCGTATTGGCCCTCAGACAGAGGACTCAGATGTTGTGGGAGGCCTACTTTTCCTCCGTGGACAAGATAGTCCTCACAACACTGGAGGTCAGCTTCGGCTTCAACACACACAACATAAAGGCTGTTAACAGGAAATATTACTTTGTGAAATGTGTTCTCCCTGACGAGTGAAGGAGTGCTTGGTGAACAGCTGTAGTTGAAGGAACATGCTAAGGCTACTAGGTCACGATAGCTTGTGAATTAAAGATGGAGTAGTAGTGGGATAGTTTCCTCTTCTTCACATTCTTCAGACGTTGTATAAATGAAGCATTCCCGAGTAAGGCTAGCTGATTAGTTTGTGTAAGTGGGGAATTAAGTGTTAGCTTGTTACTCAAGCTACCCAAACCTTTTTGTGATTTCACTCTTGGAAAAAAACTCCTGAAAACTTCCGGAAGTCATTTGGGTTGAGCTGCATTTGTAAACGCAAACAGAAGAATTTTTCACTCCAACTTTAGCCGTAACTTTTCCATGCCAGCTCCCTATAAAATGTCTCGTGTGAAGTGAGCTAATGAAGAGAATCTATCAGGAAATATTCTGAAATATTGACCAGAGGAAGGCACATGGGAAGTTTTTATGCACCTCAGGCTGTTTGCACATGACCCAGGCGATTAGCATGTTCTTCTCCTCTCACTTGTTGATATTGTGAATGTGTCTCACTACACGTACCATTGATAAAAGGCCTAAAAAACTCATTATAGATCCAGACTCTGTTGCCACCTCGTTCATTTTTACGTCATGTCTTGCCCCCCCGAGACCCTCACTCCTCACCTCAAGCAGATACAGTCTCTCCCGCTGTGAGGTGCAAATGTTCACAACTTAGCAAAATACATAGAAATTTCTAGAAATGTTCAGACATGCATGTGTGAAAGCTGCTACACTTTTTTGTTTTTGAGACTGGACATCATTTTAAAGAATTTAGCTGACGGGGGGGGGGAGCTAACTGTTACTAAGCAAGCTACATCTGTTGCTAATGGGACAGCAAGTTCACATAAGTTATACATAAGACATCGATGTACCATTGACTCTTTGTGGACAGGTGTTGAGAACTAGCATGCTTGCTAAAACACTTAAACAATGCATCTGGTTCGTCCAATGTATCTGTGATGTCCATGCCAAATAAAGTCTATTATTATTTGTGGATCACTAACCCTGATGAAGAATAAAGGGGATTGCCTTGGTAGTGTTCTCCTGTAAATTGTGAGAAAAAATCCATTTGATACTCAGCTAAATTCAAGATATCTCAATCATAACGACTTCATCCTGCTGCATAATGAAGGTGTTTTAAATGCCGGTCTGCCCTCTAATCATACATCAGCACTACTCTTGACTGTATTTTCTTAGATTTATGGTTTGACCCCCACGTGTCACCGCTCAAACTTCTATCTCACTAAAAGAAAAAAAGAGCAAAATGTTGCTTCTGGCCACTAAGTATCGGCTGGAAAACCTGTCTGAACCTATGTTTTAAAAACTCCCAATTCTCCCACCATGCAATCCTGTTGAGGAATGTGCAACAACATCCAGTGAAAACATCCGCAAAAAAAGCAGCCACCGCTGTAAACACAGGTTTCCAGCTGGAAACACGGGCAGCCGTATAGTTGCTACCTACTGCCTGTGTGCGATCATCAGATCCCGCTCTCAGAAAAAGGCTTTTCCAACAGAGCCTCCACATTTGAATCAAACCACCCTTCTATCATTATGATTATAGGGGACTGGAGCTCAGCCAATCGTCTGTATTTCTTTTTTTTTTTTACTATCTGGGCTCTGTGTGGGACTGTAAGTCTGAGGGAAACGTTTTCAAAGCAGTCCACATCCGATCTGCCTGCAGTCTCTGAGAAATCCCCCTAATGTAAAGAAATGACATATCATTACATTTCAAATATCAGTCTCAACCTGCGGGTTTCTGCCTCACTGCCCGCCGTTATTAGACTCTGAGAAAGCTTTCTTTTTTTTCAAAGCTCCAGGTCACGTTCAGAAAAAATCCCATCTTTGAAAGAGTTATTGCAGTGTGCAGAAGAAACGGGGGCCCTATTTGCTTTGTTTTCACACGTGTATCCTTTTCTCCGTCCATCTTTTTTTCTTTGAACAAGCTGAGAAAAAAAATGTACTTCAGAGGTAGCTCCTCCAGCTGAGTGAATGTCATTTGAAGGTTGGCCCGAGGGTTAGACGATGCATGAAAATAAATAACAGCCTCCTTATATGAGTCGCTTTCAACGCAGGCTGCCAGTTGTCGATTTTAGCCGAGGAAACAACAGATTCTCTGAATTCTGCACAAATGGCACGGTGATGGGGTATAGCCTTCACACATGTTCATAAAAGGCGAGTCTGGCGGTCCCTGGTGTATTCTCTGCAGGGGATTTATGCTCGAGATAATAAAGGAGAGGTTTCTGGAGGTTGGTGATAAGCTGCTTATATACATGCAGCATGCGGGGGGGGGGGAGACCTCTTACCATGGGGGCCCAGCTGTGCAGTCACCCTGGGGGTCAGCGTGGCAGGTGTTTTCTGCCGCTTGGACACCTCCTGTTGGTGTACAACAGGAAGTACACAAACTGTATCATCAGAGCTGGTGATGCACAAACACAAGCGTGTCACTGGAGTTTACATTAAGCTCCGAGACTCTCATGCAGCGGCTTAGAGGGGGAAGGAATAAACGTGGCGTCGGCTTAGATGAGCCCGACTTCTAACAAAAAAAAAAAACCCATCACAACCCTCATATACTTTCTTTTTTCTTCTGCCCAGATCATCAAGGACCGCGTTTTCTCCCACATATCCAGAAACAAGTACATGTGGAACTCCCTGCCAGGAGGTCTGCTGGTCCTGCCGGAGTACTCCACCCACCTCGCACACTTCCCGTTCTACTACCTGGGATTAGGTGAGTACACGCGCTGTTCAAATAGAGACGGATCCACATGCAAATCGTGATCTGATTGCACATTAACGATGGAGATTAAGACTGTTTCGTGAGCGCTGTGGAGGAAGAGATTATTAATCAACGCCTGGATATCAAGTCAAATATTTCTCTTGCGTCCTTGTGTGTATTGGTTTTAATTAAGCAGTCATGCAAAAAAGGTCTATTGAGGAACCACTGTGTGTGCATTATAATGTGATTAGAACATTTGTTCAGTGATACTAATGACATTAGTCTTTTGTTTAAAGAGGAAACCAGAACTATACACATCGATGCTTCAAACTGCTCTGACACTTGGACTAAAATATAAACTTTAAAGAGTTTTTATGACTTGTTTTTTTTGCTTTTTAGTCGTTGACTTTGCTTTGCATGCGTCTCCAGCCTGTTGCACTTTTGTCTGTTCCCTTAAAGGTACAGTACCTACTCCATCCATCAGATCCATCAGAGAAGAGTGGTTTATCTCCTTTAATGTTTGACCTTTGAAACATGCTGGAAGAAGTTTATATTCATGCAAATTCTCCATTTTGTTGTTTTGCAGAATGTTGTCATTTAAAGAAATGCAATCGTTTCTCGTTTAGAGTAGCCTCTTGATTGATATTCAAACTGATCGCCCAAAACACTTTTTTTTTCTTCTTTATCTTCAGGGGTCAGTCCGGGTCAAGAGTTCACTGCGGTCATCCAAGCTGTCTCTCCATTGATCTCCCAATCTCAGCCAATCATGAAGCTGCTTCAGGTGGTCTCCAAGTCCAAATACTGCTCGCAGGTATACACAAAGTACAAGAGAAAACTGTATAGCCACAAACAGTCACTATCAGCCAAGCAATATTAACAAATGAATCCATGCAAGATATGATATTTTGTGAAGAATTACTTTCAGCAATCTGTCTGGTTTGATTGATGTAAACTGTGGGGGTGTCATGATACAAGAATTCTTAATATGCATACGATTCAAACAATATCTGTACCTGTTTCGTTACCACAGCAACTGAAATTAAAGTCACAGGCACCAACTATTCGGTAGTTTATAGTTTGTAATTATCAAACATGGCAAGCAAATTCCTGCACACTTTCTAATTTTCCACATCATGTTGGCAACATTTCAGTATCCAAAAGGTTGCCAACTTATTCGTGCAATTTACACAGTGCTTCTCTGGCAGCAACTTTTGAGTGAAAATGATATTTTTTGATTCCATTATGATTATAAACAATAACAGTGATTGAATCATTTTAAGCATGCGGTATCAAAAAGTCTGTTCAGTCTTTTCCTGATCAGTCTGATGTGTTTGTGTTGCCTGCTCAGATCATCATCCTCTGGAACAGCGAGAAGCCGCCACCCAGCCGCAGCAAATGGCCTCCCATGCCCGTCCCCCTCACAGTGACAGACGGGAGGAGGAAGGTGAGGGACTGGTGCCACTCACCACTCATGCACCGCTCTGACTGTCTGAGTGACAGCGTGACAAACTGTCGGCTGCTCACTCTGTTTTTTTTTTTCTATCCTTCATAAATCTGTTACTCTGGGGTTTTTTCATCCTATCCGTGTGTATCTGATGTGTCCACTGATCCGTGTGGCGTTGGCTTTCATAAATGTCACTCGCTCTGGACATTTCTCCCGCCTCCTTTACCCTGTGTGTCTTTTATTTTGAACTCCAGACACACACAAAAAAATCCATAGTGATTCCCTCCTCTCAGTCACTCACCATGATTTACTCTAACACAATCATCTCTGTCTCCTTCTCGTAATCTCTCTGAAGTACAGACCAGGCGATATACATCCTCCAGTAACAGAGCTTTAAAATGTATTACCGTGCGTCTCTCTCTCTCAGACAACCAGTCGGTTCCTACCTCATGTTGCCATAGAGACAGAAGCGGTGCTGAGTCTGGATGAGGATACGGTCCTGCTGACCAGTGAGGTAATTCAAAACAAAGAAGAAGAAAAAAGAAAAATATGAAACGATCGAGTATTCCTGGAAAAAGTTGCAACAACTGATTTCTGTTTCTTGTAGGTGAATTTTGCCTTCCTGGTGTGGCGGAGCTTCCCCGAGCGGATCGTTGGCTACCCTCCCAGGAGTCACTTCTGGGATCCCCTGAAGCGTGCCTGGGGGTACACCTCCAAATGGACCAATGATTACTCCATAGTCCTGACTGGAGCTGCCTTCTACCACAGGTACACCAACAGTCTACATGCAGAGAACAGCTAAGGCTGATGGGAGTGTCACTGGTTTTTGTGTCTATGTAATCACAATTTCAGTGATTGGATTGTGAGATTTGAACTTTTAAAGCAAAAGCCGGAAAATGTGACTCTTTGACCTTGCCTGTTTTGTTTTTTAGTATGCATTCCTGTGCTGTTTTTGTTTCTCATGTGTAAGTCTGTGCTTTTCTTCCTTTTCTTTGTGCTGTATAACTCGTAAAAATTCAATAAAAACTGAGTTAAAAAAAAAAAAAAAAAGCAAAAGCCAAAAGATTGCAAAAGTAGAGGGTCAAGCCCGATATGTGCTCAGTGAAGTCTCCTTTTGAGCAACTTTACTTGTAATTTAACTTCTTTTCAAAGAACCCAGGGTCAGGTTTGTTATATTCTGTGCAAAAAAGAGTTCAGTAAAAAAATGCTGTTTGAAAAATTAAGAGTTCAATCTGATCTGGGAAAGAACGCCCTGAAGTGCATTAGTACAGGTCTTAGATTGTGGACCTTTGAAGACCTCTATACCAAAGTTATTACCACTTATCTCGTGGGAAACATAATAATAATAATACATTAGACTAAGTGCTTATCCTGAATACTCAGATGCTGAACAAAGACCAACAACAAAACAAAACAAAGAAGAAATAGTCTAAGAGAAAGAGGGTGGGAACAGAGTTTGTTAATGTTTGTAGGCGATGTTTAAGAGGTGAGTTTTTAGGGTTTTCGTGAAGGTGGAGAGTGATGGGTGGGTCTCTGATGTTTTTTGGGAGTGAGTTCCAGAGAGTGGGAGCTCTCTACATGCAGAGAATAGCAAAGGCTGATGGGTGTGTTACTGGTTTTGGACCTATGCAACCACAATTTAAATGATTGGATTGTGAGATTTGAACTTTGAATGCAAAAGCCGGAAGATCGCAAAAGTAGAGGGTCAAGCCCAACTGGGAGCGGCAATGGAGAAGGCCCTGTACCCCCGGGACTGATGGTTGGTCCTACAAGGGGAGAGGGGGACAGGAGGTTTGGGTCAGCAGAGAGAAGAGTGTGGGTGGGCCAGGTTATGGAGGGCTTTGTAGATAATAAGGAGGTTGAGGTCGATACGCTTGTTTTTTATATGACAAAAAGTTAATTGAATTTGTCCCATAGTGTTTGAGAACTTCAACCTCATCATGGCTTCATATTCTGAGGACACAAAATGTAATGTGAGGTGTTGGGATACTGGAGGGGGCAAGTAAAGATTCCGTTTCACTAGTAGGGTTGGGGGATCACAATGGTCCCTGGGATTCATCGTGTAGGAACCAAGAATGTTTGTACAAAATCTCATAGCAATCCATACCATAGTTTTTGAGATTGCAGTTGAAACAGTTGAACTCAACACAGCTACATGGCTGACTGAGGCACTGACTGTTTATCCCCTTTCCGACAGATTTGTCTTTAACATTATCTGCTGTTACTATGCACACACCGATAACCACATTTAGACTCACACATACCAACTCAACATGGATTACACAACCCAGATCCAAGCAGAGAAAAACAAGCAACACCTTGATGAAATGCAGCAGCAGCATGCACGCTGACATGAATCTCTAAAAAGGGACAATCAAACAGGAAGCCAAAGTACTGAGGATAATTATTTGTATGTACGAGTGAGCGAGTCGAAAAAGGAGAGGGTGAATCACTCGGGGATTTCTTGGAGCAGTTTGATTCATTTGAAAAGGCAGAAGTCGAAAGGTGCAACAGCAGAGGGACGTTGAGTTCTTCAACAATCTGGATGTAATTACTCAACAGACGGGTGTTTAAAAAAGATGCCGAAGCCCTGTGACATTCTGAGACAAAGCCGTCATTTTTGTCAGCAAGTTGCAATGAAAACAGTTTCTCTCTCATGCTAATTGAATCTACACAGCTCTTAGGGTTATGCCCGCAGACACTTTGAGGCCCATTTGCATTACCTAGAATGTCTGATTCACCGATTAAACAGTGAGAGGACAATGAGTAGTTGTTTAAAACCTGCCTCTCTCATTGTGAGATCCCTTAATTAAGCCATTTACACGCAAATGATCAAATTACTTAACTGTATATTGGATTATTAAAATGATGTGACAGCGCACCAAATGGCTTTTTCACAATATGGGCTGCTATGTCAATGAAAATAAATCTTTTCATTTGAGAAAATCCAATAACAACAATCACTTGCACAAAGTTAAATGTGGTCCATTAAAATTCCTCGGCCATTAAAACTTACTTTAATACCGGGGCGCCGGTAGTGGAGTGTAGGTTGGTGTGTGCGCCCCCTATGTGTGGAGGCTGTGGTCCTCTGGGGTGGGGATCCTTTCCCACATTCCCCTACTGTCTCTCGCCCTAATTTCCCACTCTGTCCACTGTCCTATCACTCCAATAAAGGCACAAATAAAGCCCAAAAAAAGCCTGACAGGTGCTTAGACTTTCAAATGTAATGCAAGAAGTCCAGCAGAATGAAAAGTGCTGCACTTAAATGTTTGGTCCTGAAAATTTAAAGTCTTTATATGCTTCACACTGAAATGTAATATAAATCAAGTCTATCCTCTGAAAATAACTCTGTGAGTCATGACTGTCTACAATGGGTGTAACACCCGAGTCCCACTGTCTGTGATGTTTCAGAGTTTTCAGAGTCCTATCTTCAGTTTGTTTACATCGTCGGACGGCCGGCTGACTCCTCCCCTCGAGTATAAAAGTTGTTTAATTGAGGGACTAGAGAAATGAAGAATAACATACTGTACTCACTGCTTAACTGTGTTTCTAGATCACGCTCATTTCAGGTAAATTTACATGCAGTGTGAAGATACCAGCATAATAAAGATCGCTAGCATTAGCATGCTAACACAACAATGCAGCAGCGCGAGTTGTTTTGGTTTCATGCTGGTGCTCAAGGGCGACATCTGCTGGATCAAAAAATCATATATAAAGCTTTTAAGGAATAAGGAACATATGCCTCGTGCCCCAGGGGGCTTAGCTTGTTGTGCTCTATAAATATCAAATCCCTGTTGTAGGTGAAATGGTTACTTGTCCCGGTTACATATCAACATACATCACAGCATCTAGCCTACTCTGTAGATGTTTCCGTACAGGTATAGGCTGCCCACTGGCCTCCACCTCTGACTAACTGTGTGGAAATTCTGCGTGTAGGTGTGTGGCGTATGTGCTTGTCTAAACAGATTTACTGTTTGGGCTGCGAGTGCAAGAGGAAGACGCTGAAATTGATTAGAGACTAATTACAGTGGAGCAGAACATCAGGTTCTGCACGCTGGCGACAGATGTGACAAAGTGTTGCTGCAAGAAGGAGAAACTGATGAACGGTTATATTCTTGACTTGTACATTTGTAATATCTTACTGGACAAAATGTGATTTATTCTTTTAAGCTGCCTTATAACACTGTGATCAATGTTCAGGAGAGAGGCTAATAAGATGACATGTTTTAATATTATTAACGTGATTTACAGGGAAGCCATGCAGAAAGCTGGATAAGATTCAGGGTCAAATCTGCACTGTGGGTGGTTCACTTGACAATTGTGCCGTTTTGCAATATTGAGTTTTCATGGCGGTCCTATAAACTATCTGTCCTCTCTTCATTTTCAACGATGTGACTTGTCCCACAGGTACTACCACTACCTGTTCTCCCACTACCTGCCCCAGTCTCTGCGGACTCTGGTGGATCGCACCTCCAACTGTGAGGACATCCTGATGAACTTCCTGGTCGCTGCCGTCACTCACCTGCCGCCGATCAAAGTGGCCCAAAGGAAGCAGTACAAAGAGCTGCCCAGTCCGGGGGTAAGCAGAGCCGTTTGTCTCTTGTCACTTGTGTTTCACGCTGCTGCCTGTTTGATGCTTTTGACTGGATGGTACATGTCAGCATCTTGTTTCCATTTTTTTCCAGGGTACAAAGAGCGTCCCCTGGGCCAACCCGGAGCACTTCAACCAGCGGCAGGAGTGTGTCAACACCTTCGCCAACTGGTTTGGCTACATGCCTCTGGTCCACTCTCAGTTTCGCCTGGACCCCGTGCTCTTCAAAGATCAAGTGTCTGTCCTCCGCAAGAAGTACAAAGACCTGGAGAGAGCGTGAAAACGACGGGGAAAGAATGGACAGAACAGGCTGTGGAGAGACGCAAGGTCTTGTATAGTGGCCTTTTGGATTAAGACAATGAGACCAATCAGCGGTGGAAAGGTCAAGATGGGATGCTAAGGCGGTCTGGGACGTGGACAAAGTGTTCAACATTCAATCATCAGACAGACCCTGGTGGACTGTTCTGGTCTTATTAATATAAATATTAAGAGAAACGGGCCCACTGAAGTTGAAAGAGTTCTACCCCCGTCCATGAGTGCAGTGTCAACAGAGCGAGGAAAGTAAGGGGCCTTGAAAGGTCCCAGTGAAAGGACAATCTCTATTGGACACGAGTAAACAAACGTGTACGGGCTGCTCACATGACAGTGTGCGACTGCTGTGACCAAGTGAAAAGGAAGGCTGTCTCATGCCAAAGGCACCCAGTGGACTTGTGTCGGTGCCATGCACCCTTACTGTCGACGTGTGTCTGAGCATTACTGTGCAGGGACTGTTGCCATGGAAACAGATCATTTCACATCAAAATGCTAACTGTAAAAACCAATAAAATGATTTATAAATGCAAATTCATGGTTCTGCATTACGTCTGGAGTTTTTCCCCTGCTTTGCACGTCTCTTATTCAGAGGAGGATTCTCTGCAGAGGTGAAGGAACAAGATTTCCTCATGGTGCCTTTAGAGAAGCTGAAATATTGTATCTCAACATAAACTTGGATGACAACGGGGAATGATGTGGCTGCAATGACCAGGATGTGATTACTGGCAATATTTTGGAAAATTAAAGTAGTAGAAATAATTTGGAGGGGTGGTGGGGGGGGGGGGGCAAGACCTCATACTGGTCCTGAATACTAATTAAGATGTACTCCACACGAAACCATTTCTCTATAAGGGATAACATTTAAATTATCTACTTTATGTCTACCTATTCAAGTTTGGTATATTATAAAAAATGTGTGCAGTGTTCTTAAACTCTTTGGGGCCAAATCTGTTGATGTAATTGGTTATCAAAAAGAACTACAGGATAGATCAACTTGGATTCCTCATCTTTATCTTAGCATGCAGCTCAAAAAGTAAATTCTTAATTGCAAACGTAAGTTGTTCTGGGCCAGGGTATCCTGAAGAGCATTCTGACTAGCGTATTAATTTGATGAGAGAAATGCAGCTGAGGACGAGTGTAGTGGTGTACGAGGCATCATGGGAAACTTTGTAATAGTACGCAGTGAGGAATGTTGTGCATGAGTGATTTGGAAACCCACATAAAACTCCGTCTGTAACATGTCAGAAGATAGTGAAAACAGGGAGCTGGTTTGGCTCAGGTGATAGAGAAGGCGCCCCATGTGCAGATTACCAGTTGCAGGTTTGACTCCTCATCCCGACGCTGTTTGGTGCATGTCATCCCCCCCTCTCTGTTCCCCACATTGCCTATCACTCTTAACTCTTCTTACCACCAAGAGAAGCAAAAATCATTTTTATAAAGTAGATAGTGAAAGCCTCAAACGGTCTTTGTTTGACTACAAGTCCTAAGTTGTTCATTTTGCCGTTATAGAGCTCTGCAACAAAAAAAAAAACTAACACACCAAATGGTCACTTTTGACAAGCTAGAGAGAATAGCCGTTTATGAGAAATAATAGCCGATGAATGACTGCTTCAGTTTCACTTTAGACTGAGTGAACTCTTTCTCTCGCCAAAGTTTATGGAAAATGACCGTGAGCTCATTCCATATAGTGGAAACATATGCTGCTCAAAATAAACTGAAAGAAGCACAGTTTCCTATCTGATGCGGTTGTGGTGTGTTGCAAGACCTAGTTTATGCAGCTGCTTTAAACAACCTGTGGTATTTAATTTTTTTCAAGCAATCAATTTAGTAAAACAAAAGCTCTTCAGGGTAGGTTGCATTAGCTGTGAAATTATTCTGAATACGATTAGAGCAGTCAAAGTGCTGCCCAGTCCTGACATAGCCGCTGTGTGTTTTTTTTGCATATCTGGGAGTCTTAGTGTAGGAGCACTTAACTTATGAGCTGTCTGTGTGAAAAAAGAAAAATGAACACAAAGGGTCAGGGGCAAAATATACATCACCGTGTGTTGGTGGATGTGCCTTGATGTACTTATACTTCATCTGAGCTCAGAATGACATAATGTGTTCCCCACAGCGGCCCTCGGGGTCAATATTGACACAGTGGTACACATCCTGCAACGTCTGAGCTGGCTGTATTTAGAAGCAACACTCTAAAGTCTGTGTTATGACATTGTGTGAAAAAAAAAGGTTTAATACAAAGCAGAAATGATACAGTAGGCTTACCTTTTGTGCCACAGTTTACAAAAATAAATTCACATGCAGGCAAGTCTCAACAGCCTCAGGCTAAACAGGTGTGTTGTCTTTCACTAAAGGACGCTAATCTCATTACGCACATGCACACACATACACACACACCTATGTACAAAGCACCTGAGATACATAGCTGCCAAGGGTCTGATTTGAATTCTGAACCCATAGTGTTTTTACGACTGACGGAGCATAATAAGGAAAGTTCTTTGTATTGTAAACACAGCCGTTGGACCAGCTTCTGTGCTTTCTGCGAGAATTAGCTGAGTTAAGTGTGTCTGGTGTCGAGTCAGCACCTGGGGCCAAAACAACATGAATATGTAGTTTTAACTTCTTTTTTAGTTTGTTGTTGTTTGGGCCTAAAGCGATTTAGGTTTCAAGTCATCAATACAAAAACCAGGACAGTATAACCTCTAACAGTTGTAGACTCATGGAAGGAAACAGAACTAGAACAGCTGCCTTAAATTCTTGGGTCTGGAGAGTTTCAGGCTGACAAAGCTAAACTGTTTATATATCAATAATAGCTCACAAGCTTCAACATAATACATACAAAACTCCAGAAGTTCTTATGTGAACTCTTAGTGTACGGTGAGTCTCAGGGATGAAGTGCCAACACAAAGAAGATGTCCCAAAGAAGAAGGTCCCAAAATGTTAAGTCCAAAAGAAATTCCCTTCGTTCACCTGCTCTTTGCCATTACGCAGTCCCTACATCTGTGGAGGAACTCGTTTCTTTTCATCGTCCTGTGGAAACGTCAAGTGGCGGTGTCATTTCCTGAGCGTCAGCATGGCGTTCACATCCCACAGCAGGTTCCTCATCTGGTCCATCAGAACCTTCATCTCCTGGTTCTTCTGACGTACTTTCTGCGAGTGAACCACAACAAATCCATTTTAAGACTCCTTAAAGCACAGAAACTGCACATAGTTTTAATATTAAAGAAGAAGGCATCTCTTCCACAGATGGAGGTCGGTGCTCTTAGAGAAGGACCTCAGAGGGAATCGTTTTAATATATTTAACATCCTTACAACATTTAGCAAACAGGGCAGGTCTCTTGTGTTTGTGCTACAAGCATTCATTAATAAATTAGTCTTAATCCCACTTGTCAGGTCTTGTTGATTTTGTTCATTAAATAGAGTTACTTTTTTTTGTGACAAACTTTTTGAAGCACAAACAAGCTGATCAGCCTCAGGCAACATTTGACAATGAGTCCAGTGGCAATTTCTAAACCTGAGTCTGGAATATTGATCCGCCTGGAGTAATTGGAATATATTGGCTGTAATGCTTAGCAAGAAAACAGTGAGATTTGGATTTCAATGAAACTGAACATGATGCATGGTTTCTGCATTTATACTGTTAGCCAGTGTCAGCAGTGCCACCTAGAGGCATTTACAGGGAGGGACTTCAAAAGCTTAACACCTTATGTTGGTCATTTTTCTTCCAAAACATAATGGGATCTAACTTTCATTCATCATGGAGAACAAGATCATCTTCCAGGTGGGAATATTACAATACCCAGTAACATGACATCAATGTTATTTAAAAGGCTGCTGACTGCTTTTTGTTAGACCTCTGTGTTTTAAGGTGGTATGGAAGGTCACACGCAGAGAAATATCTACATTACATCACACTGACCTGACAGATTGATATCACAGGTGACCTCTACAATATAAACTTTTACGCTGACCTCTACAATATAAACTTTTAAGCTGACCACTACAATATCAACTTCTAAAAGGTCTCAGGGTAATGTGTTCCTCCCAAATTGAGCTTGAGTAGTTCTTAAATATTTAGCAATATGAGGCTTTCTTTGGCAGTTTGCCGTTACTCAAAAGGAAGTGTTTCAATGATTAATGTATCACTTACTGTAGGATAACAGCACAGGGAGGAGTTGCACACTACTTTGCCATCATTCAAATCAGAATTAGGTTTTCAATCCGACAAAAGTGATTTAGAAGTAACAATATCTTTACTGAAGAGAACATTTTCATTTTTTTATTATGAATATTTTCTTAATGCAAACTCTGCTTTTGATCAGGTTACCGTGAGCATGAATGCAAATAAGCTGAAACTATGAAAAAGAAGGAACATACCTCCAGAACCTCTTTTCTCTCCTGGTTGATAGCATGAGTACAGGGATCCACTTTGAGAGAAACCAGCTCCTCCCCGACATACGGCACAAGCTGACGACATAAAATACATAGAAATGAGTTCCCTTTTTCTTCTCAGGTAATAAATGTTGTACATGTGGATACTGGACACAGACAGAAAATCAAACACCAAAACATTCACAGAAATTCTACAAATGCAATGCACTAAGTCCTGCTCATAGTACAGCTGCAGTAAAGGTCTTTTTTAGAGAAAGTGTTTTCTATGTATTCGCTAAAAGGATGAAAAGTAAACAAAAATTGTTGCACAAATATCTTTGCAGAATTGTAAGGCTCCCTCCTCACCTCTGTTGGCCCCTCTTGCAAGTCAGAGGTCATCTCCACACAGCGCTCGTACAGGAGTCGGAGCTTTCTGAAGAGCAGAGCGAGCTGTCGAAGGTGTTCCTGGAGCTTCCCAAAGCGGTCCGTGTACATCGCCTGGCTCTGGGTCACGCCATTAGGAAGCTACACCCCAAGAGACACAGCATCTCTTATCAGTTAAAGAGTTTACACTTTGAGTTTCGGCGGCGGTGTAAAGACGTAAACATAAGTTCATTAGCAGATTTTGTTTTCAATATGAGGAGAGAAACAATGATACTGAAGACCCATTTTCTCTCCTTGTGTTTCTAAGTTTTAAATATGTGAGAGGAGATGTGTCAAGCTGTGGTAAAACACACAATGCTGCTTTTTGCTTTTTTGAATTTTCAGTGCAGGAAAAAATGTCTCAGTGTAATGGACAAGGACAAGCTCAAAGAGGAGAGTGAAACGCAGAGAGAGAGAGACAATTAGAGACACAGATCATGTTGAGACGGGAGAATGAATAAGACAGATGCTGACAAGAATGCCAAGCAGACGAACCAGAAAAAAAGGATGGGACAAATGTGGACTGACAGACAACAGAGAAACCCTGTTAGCCAGGAAACAGCAGCCATTCAGAAAACATCCAGACAGACCAGGCAGGAGGCAGCAAAGGATCAGTGAACTCAATGATGTTTAGTTACTTGAGATTGTGAGATTTGCTAGACTTTAAAAAAAAAACAACCTTGAAAAATGTTTTCTATTAGGGAAGTACTGAAGTCAAAGATTCCAACATTTTAATTTACAAAGTTATTCTTTTATCGCTCTTTATGAAAAGGGGGATATTTAAACATTTTAGGTTCCAGTCTATATCGTGTAAGCATTTGCTGTTATAGAAACATTAAAAAGTTCATATCTGAACTTGTCACTCAGACTAAATGAGCCACTTCAAAACAAAACCAGAGGCTCTAAAAAAAAAGAGCAAATTCTACGATTGCTTCTTTATAATTCAAAAAAAGTTTTATTTGTTGTGTCTTATCTTTCATTTTTAATCAACATGAAAGGCAATTTGTAAACATCTAAATATTCATGAAAACTGGATAAACTCATTCTAGCAATGAAGCATGTTATTAACACGTTCGCTGAGATGAGTTTGATTAATTAAAAAACTATCTCTAGATAAATCAAAGGTTGAAATAACCAATAGTTATAGCCCTAAATATAATTGTAAACGAGAGTTCAACACATTGTAATCCAATGCAGTTATTGGTCTAACACAGGGATGAGCAACTTTGGTCACAGCAAGGGGCCACATTCATTTAACTCTCACTTCCAGGGGGCCAAATTGTAGAATACAAAAACAATAACAGTCAAGTATGTCTCAAATTTAACTCAACATATACCAGTGATCAAATATTATTATGGACATATTTCTGGTTTTCATGGCAGATTTTGTCATGTTTTCTTCATGTTTACACTTAATTGATGTGTAAAAATTGACCTGAGAGCCACGTTGAGGGTTGATGGGGGCCGCATGTGGACCCGGGCCGCCCCTGATCTAACATGACATCATATGATGATCTTTGACAGACTTTTACTGCGTTAAAAAATAAATAAAAATCAGTCTGCACCGAAGAATTATTTGCAGGGATGTTGTGTTGGAAGCTGCTTACAAGATTAAGATTAAGATAAAATAAGATTAAGATTTACTTTTATTGATCCTGCAAGGGGAAAAAAAACACTCTGTAAGTCATGCAACACACAGACAGGCTGAAATACACACACATGCACAAACAGGATGGAGAGATGTCAGAGTGACGGAGCTGAGCGGTGGGTCGGGGGTTTGATGCCTTGCTCAAGAGCACCTCGGCAGTGCTCAGGCAGCGATCTGGCACCTCTCCAGCTACCAGACCAACTTCCATATTTTGTTCCTCACCGGGACTTGAGCCGGCGACCCTCAACTCGAGTCCCTACAGACTGAGCTACCGCCGCCCCCCATGTGTTATGTATTTGTGAGCTTTATCACCAATGCGTAACACCAGGCTACCAGTCAGGTGTCCCCTACCTGAGTAGCTCTTGTGATCTGGAAGATCTCCATGGTCCGAGTGACAATATCCTGCACTGTCTCCTGTCCAATCCTGCAGAGGAACACGGGGGAGATCTCTCTCAAAGCTCCCTGAGGAGGCATCTGCTGACCTGGAGCTGATGCAGCACTGGACGGCAGGTGGGGCTGCTGCTGCTGCTGCTGGGGGGGCATCCCGACCATCCCTGGCTTCTGAGGTAAAGAGGCTGCCATCACTGAAGAAACCTGAAGCAGAGGGACTCAGATGAGGGGGTAACTTCAGAAAACGCTTTAACATGTGTTTTCTGAATATGTATTTGTCTTTAACTATGTAAAATATGAGTTATTAGCCACTACTCTTTGTGGCTTCATTTTGCAGCCTCTCCAAAACCCCATACAACAACATGCTAGTTAGCCACATTAGCTTGCTAACTAGGCTACCTGGCGGGTTAATTCAAACAAACAGCTTACCTTAGTTCACTTCCTGTGGTGAAACGTTGTCCAACTATCGCCAGCTTGGTTTAAGTACGACTACACATGACGTTTGTTCACGCATTTTTGTAAAAAGGACATAATGAGACCTGTCCTTTCAAAAAGCACCGCACGTTGTTGTTGTAGTTACGTCACTTCCTGTCAGAGGAGAGCGGCGCGCGCTGACTTCCCGCCACCAGATGGAGTCAGAGGTTGTTTTCAGAAGTGTTGTAGTCTGAGGTTGAAGCAAAAAACAAGGAAATAAAACATGAAATTACACAGTAACTTAAATATTTTACCAAATTAAAACCTCTTGTGTGATTGTATTTTACTCTTACTGTTTATTTATTTTTTTTTTTTCTTTTTATCAATGAACTGACCTGTATCGTTGTTCTTGTTGTATGTTTTATAGCCCGACCCTTAACTGTTTGTACAATCTGATTAAAGATAGATAGATTGATATTGGCCTACCATAAATGTGATGAGTAAAGATTAAAAAAATAATAATTCTGAGGTTAAAGCACAATTAACCAGAGCAAACATAGCCGTGCAATCACAATTTAAATAGAGTAAAAGTAGAGATGTATTTTCAATAAATGTGCTCCAAAACTTTGGAAATATCTCCTGTTACACACAATTTAACATAGGATTCACACTTAATGTAGGCTGTTAGGCTAATTTGTTTAAATTGCACATATATTTTTATCTCTGCACGGGTTATGTACATTTCTTGTATAAGTCTATTTTTTTAATCGCACAGTTTAAGTTTGATTCATCTCGGGGTATTCTTTAAATCTTTTTTTCAGGTTAATATATATGTATGGGAGGGGGGGGTCGGTTTTGTGGTTAATTTGTAACAAATGTTTCATGTCATGTCTTTGTAACCTGCTACTGGATGCTTTGAATTTCCCTCGGGATCAATAAAGTATCTATCTATCTATCTATCTATCTATTATTCTGTGATATTAAAACATTTTGTTTTAACAAGAGCTCATGTTAACTATTTTCTTAATATGCTAACTAATAGATTTCATGTCTTCAAACTTCAAACCCATTATGTCTTCAAATGTCAAACTGCCTAAATTTAATGGATTTTGAAGTAGGCCTACTGATTGTCCTTACTCTCTCCTAATCTTTACATGCCTATTACTTAAATATGTAAAGATATCATTGCAGAAATATATAGCTAAAACAATAGCTTATATTTATGATATTTCTAAAAACATTAGGCCTAATTGTAACTACTTTCCGAAAACCGGACTGACAAAAGTACTCTGCAAACATTACTTTTCTTTTCTTCGTTTTTTTTATTTTACATACAAATACAACCTTTTGTTTTCTGGAATCTAGAAGTACGTGTGGAATAAAAACATTGTTGTTTTTTTTGCTTTTGAAAGTAAAGTTCATATGAGGGAGCCCTGGCCTGTAATAGCAAACCATTCAGGGTTTAACTTGCTCTGTGCAGCTGACTTTATCCTTTGTTTAAGGGATTTGTTTAAAGGATCAGGTGTTGGAGCTGTTGTGACAGGGAAAATGTTTTATAGAAGTAGATTTTTACTTGTAATGTGACTTAATCTGACCTGAATCAAGGGATATTCACTGTTTTATACTGTTTCTTTAGTTTGTTTTAGTCAGTACTGCCATGGTTTTTGTGTTCACTTGAATACAAACTTTAGTTTCCTTGGGGAGATTTGGTTGTAGGCAGACTTTACAAATGCCAGGAAGAGAATGAGCAGCAGGGATATTCAAATAATGAAGTGTGTGAGATATACTGTATTTGAATATATTTTTGAAGACTTTCATTTTATTTAGCCTCAAGCTTCTTCACGATAAACAAGCTCAAAGAGACACATTTTATCATGGTTTTTAGTTTGGTAACTGTGTAGCGAAAAATATTTAACTGTTTTGGTTCCCTAATTGATCTCATTGACTTATTTTTATGTTTAAAGTTTTTATTGTGCATTACGTTTTAGAAGACAGAAAATTCCAATTGTGTGTCATGTTGACTTTTAATTTAAATTTCTGTGGTTCTCAGGGTTCGTTGGTCCAATAATCTGATTTCATTTCATTTTATTTCAAACTTTTATCTAAGCCTCGAGAATCACTGAGGTTACTCTCATTAACCATGAAGTTGAGACAGAATAAAAGCACCAGAAAGAAAAGATGATGCTCAGTAGTGAGTCGTTTTGAGGGTTTAACATTCTTCACAATGTTTATTTCACTCAAAGTTCAATATATGTCTCCTGAGTCAATATGTACTGTATGTCTCAAAGACTGTATGAGAATGGACAGTGGAATACCGTGCCTCAAGTGAAGCCAAAAGATTTAAAGCACTCCCTTCTGACTTGCTGCATTATAGGTCATAAACACCGCCTCCCCCTCAGGTAGGATGTGGGTCTACTGTATGTCGTCTTATTCTTATTTTATCTGAATTATAAAGATAGCATTTATCAAACCTTCACAATGTTAGTGAACATAGTACACTGGAAATAAAAGCTGGAAACACACGGCGTGTTGAAGCCTACTGCGTGTGATGTCATCAAATATTCCTGGAATATTCATGAAATCTTGTGCAGACATTTGTGATCCCCAAAGAATGAACAATAATCACTTTGGAGATCTGGGATAAGTCTTTGAATTAGTTTAATGACAACACAGCTAAACTTCACCATGCTAACATGCTAGGCTAAGATTGTAAACACAGTAGACATTATACCTTTTAAATAGCATCATGTCAGCTTATATTGTGAGCGTGTTAGCATGATATTGTTAGTGTTTAGCTGATGCCCATACAGCCGTGCAGAGCTGCTAGCCTAGCTTGTTCAGCATTTTTCTAACTGAAACCACAGAATAAAAATCAGTGTTCAAAGTTTTGTTTGCCTTCTTGTTGGCCTCCTTAAGCTTTACGTTTCTGAGCCATTCGGGACATCTTAAAGCTAAGACACCATCCATTGTTCATTGCGTCATTTTACTCCAAAGTTTTGCAATTTTTGAGTTTATATGAATGTGAGCGCCGCTCCAACTATCTATTACACCGTTTACAAGAGCCCCTCCTTCTTCTGATCGTGTTCGCTTATCTTTATGGCTCATTTCCATGGACCTGCCAAGGCAATAAAACATCGCTTGATGCTATCGTGAAGTTCAGATGAAACACGTCACGCAACAGGAGCCAAATGACATCAAAGCGAGGCGAGGAAACTGCGGAAACTGCAGTATAATATATAAGCTTTGTCTTTCAGGGAATGATTCGTAGCTAATCCTGCAAACATAAACTAGGGGGAGAAATGATCAAATCTATGCAATGAATGAAATCATTTCAGTCAACATGATGACACAGGGCACTGGGTTATCTTAAAAGAGACGATAAAATGTCAAACACCAGGAAATACTCGGCATGGTGATACACCAAACTGATAAAGGGACACAAAGGCCCGGTTATTAGCTACCAGAACAGCAACAGGACACAATTATGTGTCACTCCCTGCCTCGGATGTTTAGCAAAGAAGAGACATGTTTGAAATAGTTAAAGCGTTAAGTAGTGAATCAGTTTGTTGAATTTGTGAACTTTATTAGCCGCCTAGAAATAATTAACTTCTGTTTGAATTGTGTACCCTCTCAAAGCTTTTCTCTCACACCCTTCCCTTTATCGACTTTAACCAAATCAAATGAAAATGAGAGGAGTTGTCTGTTTACGTTGCGCTTACAAATTGTCAAGGTGAAGTTTTATTGGATGGTAAATGGAACTGAGCAAAGTTAGAAGCTAGTAAAAGTGAAACATTTCTCAGCTTGAAACGTCAGAAACACTAATTTTTGCTCATGATGATGTTGTGGAATAGTACAAGTTTTACCTCAAGTATTTGTTAAACGTCAATATAGAAACTTAAACATCATGCTGGAACATTCTTTTCTGCTGACCTCAGTCCTTCCTACAGTCCTGTAAAGCTTCTTATCAGACAATGTGTAATCAAACGTGCTTCAGTCGCAATATCTTCATCAAGATATTATTTCCAAGGGGGCAAAAGAAATATCAAAGAAGCAAAACAAAATTCTTGACTTTAAGTAAAAACTCAGGTCGTGTTTGGTGAGGGGGATCATGTGGTTCTGGTTTATTTGTACATGAATGACTTTATCTTAGCGTATCTTTTTTTTATAACGATTTCTTCCTCAGGGTTATCGAAGCTCGGTCGAGAGTGAAATGTAAAATATGAAGGAGAAACTGATGACTTTCTGTTTTCATCTAAATGCACTGTACAAATGCCTACCTGTATTTTATGACAAATAAAAAGACCATGTAATGTTTGTAGAATATATAAATGTAAATTATAAGCATTAAATATGAATAACAGAAGCAGCTGCCCCAACAAAGCTTTAGATTTTAATGTGACTGACGCCTAATATTGTAACAGTTAATAATGTAACTGTGATTCATCACAAAGTGACGATGTTTCTGTGTTCTCTACCTGTTTACGTTCAGAGTTTGTGTTCATCTACACTGTAAAAACCATAGACTGTAAATATTAATGGATGAAGCCTGAGTGACGTCAGCCATCTGTTACTGCAGGGTGCTCTGGAGGCTCATCAGCAGCAGCCGCCATGTTGGAAATCCTGTCTCAACCTAACGTTCAGTCAACCCATGCCAATCCTGCCCATGAGGATCATAACTAATCAGACATATTTACCAGGCTGTAAACTTTGTAATTTCTACTGTAAAAACTGGCTTTTTTTTTGAATGGGTGTGTATGTGACTTTCGGTGTTCCTGGAGCCAGCCTCAAGTGGACACTTGATGAACTGCAGGATTTTTTGCACTTCCGCATTGGCTTCATTTTTCAACACCGGAGGTTGCTGCTTGGTAAAAACTAAAAAACAGTGACTCTTGTATGACATAGTAATATGACTTCAGACTTTTACTTTTAAGTTGTTTGACTTGAATTTGACTTTTTGCAGATATTTTTTTTAAACCAATTTTGTAATAAAAAGAAAGGGACACACATGCAGGACAATCAGCTCTGTGAACATGCATCTGAACAATACTGTTCTAAAGATGGGATCAAATGTGGCGTTATTATATCAGTGTAATATGGTTCAGTTCAAAGTAGGGGTTGCAAAGTAGTCGAAGTAGTCGACTAGTCGTCTTTACAGCTGTGTGATGACACTTAATGCCAGATGTGGACTAATCGCTTATTAGGATAGAAAACCTCAAACTGTGAACGAGCAGAACTGTGACAGTGAGTAGGGAAAAACAAAATGTTTACCTCAGTTTTTGTCTTTCCTAAATGTGACCTTTTTTTCTTTGCACTCACATATATGGGAGCTGTAGCTCACGTGTTATTGTTGCACGCTTTATTGTAGCTGTTGCACCCTGCTGTTTCTTCAAGAGTTAGCTCTCTGATTTCAGCAACATGTGCAAGTTTTGCCCAAAAAAATGTTGCTGGTTGCAAAGCATGCCCTTCTTTTATTAATAACCTGCAGCCCCTAGTACAGAGCATAGCCCTAATAGACATTAATAAGTACTGAAGAGTTCATTGTGTTTGTCAAAGCTTTCTGTTTTACATATCAGATACATAACACTTGTCTGCTGCCTCACTTTTTACCGTTGGACTGAACACCTGAACATTTTTTTTTTTTTCTGCCCAGCTCTGTGTGACGCCTCACAGTTATCAGCATCATTGTTATGGAGGGCTGGCAGGTATATAAAGGGACACACAGATAAGGAACCACGGAAACAGCTGAAGCCCACGATGGAGAAGTCAAGGATGCTGCTGCTGTGTGTGTGTTTGACCTTCATGTCTCTGAGCTGCACCCAGGTAAGGAGCACACTGCTGGTTAAAAACATCTCAGCCTCTCTGATTGGTGGACGCCGGTTACACAACTGATTGACTTTCAACAAACAGCGCGGCAATCCCTTTGTTTTTTTCTGCCTTAAGCGTGGTTACAGTCAAATGAGTGAGAAGTCAAGGACACATTTACATGAATTTTACAATTCAGGCAAATGGGTGAATGGAAAAATGGGACTTGTATTCTTGATACAGCTAGACTGTATACCTTTCTCTGTTTTGATTTTATTTGTTGACGGTTTGTGTAAAAAAGTTTTTAAAAAAAGAAGCAATTTTTTTTAAATAAGTGTGCAATGGACTAAAGAATCCATAGTAAAAAAAATTTTTTTTTTCAAAATAATATGTTAAATTAAACCCTAAACTTTCGGAAAACCAGTCACAGAATTTAATGCTTTAATCCTTGTTGTCATGACGGTTAGTCGAGGAGTTTAATGAACACCTTGTACCTTTACTTTCTGTTAAAAAATGTTGTCAAACTTAATTATTATTACTTTGGTTGTAGCACAGACAGGAGCCTCTCTGTGTGACTTTGCATGTTCTCCCTGTGAGTGCACGGGTCCGACCCCCTACTCCCACCCCCCTTTGTCCAAAGACATGCTCGTCAGGTTCCTCTGTGACTCTAAATTGCCTGTAGGTGTGAATGTGAATGTGGCTGGTTGTCTGTCTCGATATGTCAGCCCTGTGATTGACTGGTGAACAGTCCAGGGTGTACCCCGCCTCTCGACCAATGACAGCTGGGATCAGCTGCAGCCCCCTGCGACCCAGAACTGGTATAAATGATGGATGGATGTATGATTGTAACTCCTCCACTTCTTTACTTCCACAGAACTTAATACAACAGAACAAAATGTATTTTCAAGCACTCAACAGATCTGCGTGATGCTGGAGGAAGCTGCTTTATTATCGGCCTCGAGATAACTCACATTTCCAGATTGATAGATATGACCTATAAGGAAAACATAAAGCTAGCGGGGAGATAAAACACCCCCCCCCCCCAAAAAAAAGAAAGAGATGCAGATCTGCCGTGTGCAGTCAGAGGAAATAAAGGACAAACATGTACTGAAAGCTTCTACCGACCTCAGCAGTATGCAAAGCAGGATTAATCCTTCATGCCTCTCTTCTGGATCAGCAAATGCTTGACCTTTGCATGTTGTGGCTGCAGAAGGTTTGTCACCTACACAGAGAGACACTGTGGCTTTATCTGCGGCATTGACTGATAGTAAAATACAGCAGGAAATGAAAACAGTAGGAGTCAGTGTTTAGGGATGTTTCCTGAATCCGCCATTTTTTTAATGTAGTTTTAGATTCAAATGTAACATGTCTGATTTTTATCGGGTCAGTACACTGAGGGTGTATATTTTCCGACGTCTGGTATCTATCACCTGCTCAAAGTGTTTGCTTTAGTTTCCCAAGCTTAAAAGATACGTTTGAAAATAAGTTTGTGAAAAACTTCTGACGACTTCAGTGAAGTTTGAGTTTGAAAGCAGCGTCATATACCTTTAAAGGTCACCGCATGATATGTTGAGTCTCGATTATCTTCCCACGATCATGAAAACAAAGATAATCATGATAAGACGATTGCTGTGCAGCATGCCGTGTTGCGCTCGTTTTATACATGGGTTTTGTCATGTGTAGTAAATGTTTCAAATTGTCGCCAACAAGAGGATCTCACCACTACCTTTGTGTGTGTGTGTGGGTGTGTGTGTGTGTGTGTGTGTTCAGAAAGTTTAAATGTGCAGATTCTGTCAAATCATGATCTCAATATCAATCAAAATAATAATTTTCAAAGCAGCCCTGGTGTAAACTGATGTTTTTCTTCCACAGGAGCTAAACGCTACAGTGACAAGTAACAACACGGACTCATCCAGTACCACCCCACCTGCATTATCAACAACAACACAACTGTCCAACCACACCTCGACTCCCGTGACCTCCGACAGCAACAACATTGTAACCACCATGGCCTCCTCTCCCTCCACCTCAGCTCTGTCGACGGCCTCCGTTACACCCTCCACCTCTCGGCCTCCTCCGACTGAGACTGAGACTAAAACTGCAACGACTTCGGCTACGACCACAAAAGGAGGGTCTGCCTCTATGACGGGCTCCTGCAGTCACTTGTTAGTGCCAGTTGTTTCCGTCCTCCTCTACTGTGCAGAGGGCTGAGAGGGCACAGATTCAGCTTTTCAAAATCTCAACCTCTTTTTTTAATCCGCTGAAAAAATAGTGACAGTCACACTTTTTTTTTGTTATTAAGTGCTTTGTTTGCAATGAGCTTATTTCCACTTTTGATCAGAAAGGTTCCACAAGGTACCAATAAACAATGTACAACCACATGCTTCACATATCTAAACTATACTTCAATCACAAAGAGGGAAACAGAAACACAAGGATAAGATGTTTCTCAACAGGTTTTAAAGGATTAATTGTTTTTTTATTCAAAACACATTTTCCTAAATGTATTAGTGGAAAACTCAAGTGCAGAATGTAAAAAAACAGATTAGAAACCTGGAGGGAGGTGTGAGAAGAACTGGATGAATCCTGTATAAAGTTAACTTCTTACAACAACTGATAAGAACGGTGGAGTTCATGCTGCCACCCTATTTGCACTTTTAGTTTTGAAAAAATGAAGGGTCATTCAAATGCATGTCATGTTTTTTGTTTTGTGTCTTCTGTTTTCCATCGGGTGATCTCTGCATACTGACTGGTCCAACATGATTTGAGAAATAATAATGAGCAGGTTTCATAAAAAACAAATTGTGCAAAACTAAAAATTAAATGGTTTGGGAAAATGTTGTCTATATGTTGTCGTGTAACTTCATTGCCTTTTGGAGACTTAACAGTCGATTTAAAGGCTTTATATTCAAACTTAAATGTAGAAATCAAGTATATCCTCTGAAAATAACTCTGAGTCATGACTGTCTACAATGGGTGTAACACCCGAGTCCCACTGTCTGTGATGTTTTCAGAGTTTTCAGAGTCCTATCTTCAGTTTGTTTACATCGCCAGGACGGCCGGCTGACTCCTCCCCTCGTGTATAAAAGTTGTTTAATTGAGGGACTAGAGAAAAGAAGAATAACATACTGTACTCACTGCTTAACTGTGTTTCTAGATCACGCTCATTTCAGGTAAATTTACATGCAGTGTGAAGATACGAGCGTAATAAAGATCGCTAGCATTAGCATGCTAACACAACAATGCACCGCAAGTTGTTTTGGTTTCATGCTGGTGCTCAAGGGCGACATCTGCTGGATCAAAAAATCGCACATAAAGCCTTTAAAGGAAGAATGTGCGACTTTTTGATCCAGTAGATGTCACCAATGAGCACCAGCATGAAACCAAAACCGCTGTTTGGAGACACCTCCACCTCTCCGGCTACCAGACCAATTTCCAGATATGGTCCGCACCGGGATTTGAACGTGCCACCCACCAGTTCCCAACCCAAGTCCCTACAGACTGAGCTACCACTGCCCCTTTTAGCTTTAAATTGTGTAACTGCGACATTTAAGCACGAGAGGGTTGTTCATATGCAGTTATTATTTATTATTCAATTAAATTTGACCTGAGAGAAACGACACAGTTTGATATCAAGGGCTGCTTTAAGAGAACCACCTGACTGTGCAAGTAGCAGCAGAGACCATTTCTCTTAAACCTTCTTGATAGATGTGTGTGAGGTTTTGCATCTGTGAGCCATAGCTGCTGGGGTGGAGACTGATGGAAGGCGGCCCGGATGGAAATAAGCATCAGGTGAATAATCAGAGCGCCTTATAAAAGACAAGTCCCCGGGATACACACCTTTTACACATCTGAGACGTTCGCCTAAGATACACCTGAGTACGAGCAGGAGAATAACAAAGATTGTCTAATCTTTTAAACAAAAACAACAACAACAAAAAACTCTGAGGTTTAAAGAAGTTATCTCCAGCTGGTTGTCTGTCTTCAAAGAGGAGAAGATCTCTCATCAAATATGAAGTACCTGGTCCTGGGATGACCTCGCTGGCTCTGCTGGGATTTGTCTGCGCCAAGGTAAAAAAAGAAAATATATCTTCACAAGCCTTAAAACATAGAAAGAAGAGGGAGATATGTTTTAAACTTTGAAATATCGAGCTTCAGTCTTAAAAGTAAAACAATAAAAAAAGGCCACATTTCTACAGCAAAGGCTCTTATACTGTTAATAAACGAAATAAACAGTAAGACTTGATCCCTGCGCGTCTACTTTACTTTTTAATTTATTTATTACTGTGTCTGATAAAAATGGCTTAAATTAAGCCATAAGCTTGAATACGGCACGGTACAGATGGCCAGTGTGATCGCGCCCTAAAGCTGTGGACGGACACAGACAGAGCAAACTGTGAGCCTAAACTGACCTCAAAGAGATAAGACCAGCAGGTGAATCTGTGTCTGTCGGGCAGAGAAAACTCTGACTCAGCGACTCCACAGCAATAGCCTTTCACACTGAACGGCACACAGTGCAGATTACATCGTCATTACAAATTTGAGGTTATTTATTTTGTATTTTAATGTCTATTTCTGCATTTCTGTTGGGTCTTTCTAATTTGATTGTATTTAATATCTTCATATTTAATCTTCTCTGTGATCAGTAATGGTTTGTTTTAGTGATTTTTAAACTTTCTTTTCCCTCTTTGTCTCGATGCTTTTGATGTCTTGTGTGAAGCACTTTGATTGGCCTTGTTGCTGAAATGTGCTAAAGAAATAAACTTGACTTGACGTTGAGATACACATCATTTTACAACATGTCTTCGTTTTCGTCCTTGTCATTTAAATCAATGCTACGTTTAAAGCGCGTTTCTTGGAGGTTTTTTGCTCACCATAAAATTGGCCTGAATGTAATATTATGGGGGAAAAAAATGAATTATTTTCAGTGGCATGTTATTGAATTAATCTGTAAATCTCATTTTACATTCTACAGCAGGAGTCAATGGAAGACAAACCAAACTCCAATGCTACCAACAATTCAACTTCGCCACATGACTCGGGATCAGGCTCAGGCTCGGGCATGTACACCGGCACTGGTGGCTCGGGCACGTCCAGTGGCACTGGTGGCTCGGGCACGTCCACTGGCACTGGTGGCTCGGGCACGTCCACGGCACTAGTGGCTCGAGCTCAGGAAACGGACAGAGCCATGTCTTCACCTCTGTCACTCTGCTGTTTGGGTCGTTCCTACTTCAAGCACTTTGGAAATGAGCGCCCTCTATTGGCTCAGAACAGAAATTAGTCTTAAACTGCAGCCCTTTTTTAGATGTGTAGGCTATATCATATTAACTTGAGGTTAATGAGATGAAAATATATTTTGAAATAATATTTAGGCTTATGGCTAGAGAGTCACTATGACAGTTTCTG